AAAAAAAAAAAAAAAAAGATTCTGTATGGACATGATACTGAGCATTGCAGCCAGCTGGTCTCTGTGAAGGAAGGCTTGCCCAGGTAATTTGATATTTATGATTACTGGGTCTAGATTTTGAAAGCTATCTTTCTCATGCTCCAGTGCCACTAATCCTGCAGTAACACATGATAGCTCCATCTGAAGCAGTCATCCCTGGGTGATGAAGGAAAGATATATAGGAACTTCTTTCTTGCTCACAGAAAGGATGCCTGCACCCAACCTAGGTTTTTTTACATGTTGGAAGAGAAACAAAAACCTTATTAGAAAAACTTCTGCTTTTGGTGATGACAAATAGGCTTTTATCAGACTAATGTTCCTACTGAGAACAACTTAAGAAAAAAAAAAAAAAAACTGGATAGAAGACCAAAAACTGGAAAGCTGCTGAGGTACCTGAGATTTGAGAGACAATAATGCTAGAAAATTAAAAGACCAAGGTTGTCAAAGCAGATGAAAGCCAAGCCTGAGTATAGCTTTTGCCACATGGCCCTTAAGTGTCCTGGCTCTCTTCAGTGCTGTCTTTGGTAGACCACAAGTGGGGGCTCCAGGCTCTGTGGAAGGGCCTTCCTCTAAGTATTCTAATTCTCTCGCAAGTGCCTTAGACTAGCTGGGGACCACTGCCACTGAAACAGGTCATTGAGCCTGGTTCTGATACAAGAAGATTGCTCTTGCTACATGTTCCATATTTCTTTCATGTGATCTTGTGAAATTAAGCCACCAGAATAGTGTTGACATGCCAGTTTGGGTGATAGATGGAACACAAAATGTGTTCTAGGCTCTGGGCTTATTATAGGGGTCAGCTGCTAGCCCTTGGGCTTGACCTACGTGTGAGTCCACGTATTGGCTCATCCATCAGTGTTCTAACTATAGTGCTTCCTGTGTTCTGCATCCAAAGACAGCAAGGTGTCTTTGTTATGAGCATGCAAAGAAGCAGAGAGCAAGGATGGAGAAAGATACATTATCCAAAGGCTAATCCAAGAAAGTAGGTGTGTCTATACCAACTATCAGGCCTAAGAACATGAACCTCCAAGTTTAGGACAGTCATGATGAACTCTATGGAAAGAACAAGGTAAAAGAGAGAAGAGAGATTTAAATAGCGAGCTTCAACTGCACTTATCTAAAATGGTGTGTGTGACCGGCCTTCGAGCGACAGCAACGCAAGATGGCAGCCACCACGGGCTCGGGAGTAAAAGTCCCCCACAATTTCCGACTGTTGGAAGAACTTGAAGAAGGCCAGAAAGGAGTAAGAGATGGCACGGTTAGCTGGGGTCTAGAAGATGACGAAGACATGGCATTTACAAGATGGACAGGGATGATAATTGGGCCTCCAAGAACAATTTATGAAAACTGAATATACAGCCTTAAAATAGAATGTGGACCTAAATACCCAGAAGCACCCCCCTTTGTAAGATTCGTAACAAAAATTAATATGAATGGAGTTAATAGTTCTAATGGAGTGGTGGACCCAAGAGCCATATCAGTGCTAGCAAAATGGCAGAATTCATATAGCATCAAAGTTGTCCTGCAAGAGCTTCGGCACCTAATGATGTCTAAAGAAAATATGAAACTCCCTCAGCCACCTGAAGGACAGTG